CCTTTGGGAGGCTGAGGTGAGTGGATTGCCTGAGCCCGTGGGTTCCGACCCGCCTGGGCAGCGAGACCTCATCTCTGCAATAAATAAAAAAATCAGCCGGGCGTGGTAGCGCCTGCCTGTAATTCTGGCTACTTGGAAGGCTGAGGCGAAGGATCGCCGGGAGCCTAGCAGGTTGAGGCTGCGGTGGCCGGGGAGTGGCTCCTGCACTCCAGTCTGGGCGACAGAGTGAGACTCCAACTCAAAAAAAAAAGAAATCAAATCTCTGTATCCCCTATAATCATTGACCTCTTTGGCAACCACACTCATTTATTACCTTTCATATTTTTGTTTTTACTTCTTCCTTTTTTCAGTCTAGATTCCTTTTAGCTTTTTTCCTTGCCTAATTGCCCCAGTTAGAATCTCCAGTACAGTGTTAAATAGAAGTTTTCTAGCTCTGAGGAACTGGAAAACTTGGGAACTTGGAGTAGGGGGAGATAAAGGGAAAAAAAAAGTGAAATACAAGTGGTAAGAGTAGACATGCTTGGTCCTTAATCTTGAAGTGAAGCATTTGGCATTCTACCACCAGTATGATGTTGGCTGTGGCTTTTTCGTGGATGTCCTTTATCAAAGTAAAGAAGTTTTTTTGCTTGTTTTTGGAGTCAGAGTCTCACTGTCGCCCAGGCTGGAGTGCAGTGGCACACTCACAGCTTCGTAGCCTCGATCTGCTGGGATCAGGCGATCCTTTCACCTCAGCCTTTCAAGTAGCTGGAACCAAAGGCAAGTTCCACCACACTCAACAAATTTTTTTATTTACTGTAGAGATGAGGTCTCATCAAGTTGCCCAGGTTAGTCTCAAACCATTGGGTTCAGGCAGTCCTCTTGGGTCTGTCTCCCAACGTGGTGAAATTATTGGCATGAGCCACCACACTCAACCAAAGAAGTTTCCTTTTATTCCTAGTTTTTGAGTGTATTTATCCAGAAAAATTGCTCACACTGAGATGATCATGTGGGATTTTTTTTGTCATTAGTTAATATCGTACCTTTCCATTTTAACAAGATTTGATTCTAGCTATGCTGGATCACATGTAATGCCTGATCTTTAGGAGGTCTTCTTATTGAGTTTTCCTCTTAATTCTCTGGCTTCTATGGCTTCAGATATTCTGCTATGTTGTAAATCTGTATCACTTCTCAATTCAAACCCTGTATGTTAAGCAGCCTGCTGAAAGGTCCATTTAGATGTCTTTTTTAGCATTAAAACTTGAAAATGATCCATGACTCCTCCTGCTACCTGTTCCTATTAGGAGTTACTAAATCAGCCAGGCATGGTGGCTCATGCCTGTCATCCCAGCACTTCGGGAGGTGGAGGCAAGAGGATTGCCTCCAAATCAAAAAAAGGAGTTAATGAATCTTAAAAAAAAAAAAAATCAGTGTTTTGGAAGACCTAAAGATAGAGCAATACATTTTAACTGGAAGTTTGGAAGCATTAGGATATATATATACACATATATATATATATTTTTGAGTTGGAGTCTCTCTCTGTCGCCCAGACTGGCGTGCAGCCTTGACCTGCTGGGCTCCAGTGATCCTTCTGCCTCAGCCTTCCAAGTAGCTGGAACTATAGGCGCGCACTATTATGCTCGGCTAGTTTTTTTTTTAATTTATTGTAGAGACGAGGTCTCGCCAAGTTGCCTGGGCTGGTCTCGAACCCTCGAGCTCAGACAGTCCACTTGCCTTGGCCTCCCAAAGGGCTGGGATTACAGCCTGAGCCACCGAGCCCGGCCATGATATTTTTAACTGGGTGTTTGGAAGAAGTTTGGTAGAACCTTTTAATTTAGATTTTTTTTTTTTGAGTTGGAGTCTCACTCTGTCGCCCAGACTGGAGTGCAATGACATGCTCAACGACCACTGCAGCCTCGACCTGCTGGGCTTAGGTGATTCTTCCACCTCAGCCTTCCAAGTAGCTGGAACTACAGATGCGCATCAGCTAAATTTTTTTATTTATTGTAGAAATGAGGTCTTACCAGGTTGCCTAGCAGTCTGGTCTTGAACCTTTGGGCTCAAGCAGTCCTCTCACCTCGGCCTCCCAAAGTGCTGGGGTTACAGATGTGAGCCATTATGCCCGGCCTAATTTCACATGTTTAAAGGAATTTCTGAGTTAAATTTTTTATTGCCTTTATATTTTATAGCAGTGTTTCACAAAATATGTTGAGGGATGAATTCTGCTTATAACAGAATTATCAGATATGTAAGATATCTAGACCTTATTGTATACCAGCTGAATCTGAATCTTTGGGAGTGAAGCCTAAGTGTATAATTACCAAATTCTTCTTTTGTGCTCTAAAGTTTGAAAATCACTGGTATACATAATGAAATTGCTACTTCAGTAAGTTTAAAAACGAGTCCTTTTTAGATTGCCATTTAAATGTCAAAGAATAAAAGAGATACTACTTGCCATTTGTAACCTTAAAATATACTTACTTAAATACCTTTTTTTGCAGTTGAGTGTGCGAGGAAAAAATAAAAAAGAGAAACTGGAAGATTTCTTTAAAAACATGGTTAAATCAGCAGATGGAGTAATTGTTTCAGGAGTAAAGGTAAGATTTTATTTGCTCAACAGTGGTATTGATTGAGACTTTTACTTCTTTCAAAAGGGAGCTAGATTGAGATTTCAAACATGTAAAATTGAAATAAAAGTAGTATTTGGACAGCAGAATCGTTAGTCCCAGGAAACTGTGTCCCATGTCCTGAGACCCTCTCTTTAGAGAGCTCCCTTCTCCAAGGGGTGAGAAGTGCAGTCCAAAGTTATTTGCTCACTTGGAGCCTGTGCCCATTCCTTCCAAACCAGACTACATTCTGGGTATCTGGAATCTCATATTTCCCTGCCCAAATCCTAATCTTTCCAGGTCCTATATGGGGTTCTTCCCTGGATTCATACCACTCATGTACATTCTGTGGGTGGTTGAGGCGTGACCATGGGGCAACTCAGTAATCGGGGAGGGATAGGAGAGAAGATCCGTGTGCAGGATGGAATGTCCAATCTATATGTGCATAAAGTTCCTCTAGATGCAGGACAGCCAGAGCTGCAGGGCAGAGCAAGAAGAGGGACTGCCTCTGTTTGTGCAGTTGCTCTTAGCTTATGTTAGAAGCATACCTGAGTTAAGATTTGGATTTAGAAGGTCTCAGTTGAGATTTTGGTGTTGACTCAAGATAGCTACATGACCTTAGGAAAAGTCACTTTCTTTTTTTGAATCTGGGTTTTTTTTAAATGAATCATTGCTGGTTTAGAAGGGGGGGAAAGTACTGTTAATATTTTTTATTTTTAATGCATATCTATTTTGTTTAGAAAGATTGAAGACATTCTTACCATTCCTCCCAGATAGCTGCTAGTTTGGCCAGGTTCCCTGGGGTGGTCAGAGAGCCTAATGGCATAATGACTAAGAGCAGGCAGTCTTCAATAATGGCCCATAGCAATACATAATAGCCTGGGTGCCAGTGACTCACACATGTAATCCCAGCACTTTGGAAGGCTGAAGCAAGGCTGAGTCCAGGAGTTCAAGACCATCCTGAATAACATGCCAAGACCTTGTCTCTACAATAAATAAAAATATTAGCTGGTGTAGTGGCTCATGCCTGTAATCCTAGCTGCTTGCTTGGAAGACTGAGATGGAAGGATCACCTGAGCCCAGCATTTCGAGGCAACAGTAGCCATAATCGTGCTATTGCACTACAGACTGGGTGGCAGAGTGAAACTCTGACTTAAAATAAAATAAATAAAAAGAATACATTGTAGGCCATAATATACCAAGAAAAATCAATTTTCACTTCTACTAGAATTTTGTTCCTATTTCTCAAAAGCAGTTGATCACTCCCACTGGCAATAATGTGTTTATTGGAGAGGCAGAATTGTAGAGACAGAGCACATATTTCAGAGTACACCATGTGAACATGAAGCATATGGAGAGATCTAAGCCTTTGGCTATAAAACCATGGAGGATTTTTTTTTTTTAGTTGGAGTCTCACTCTGTTGCCCAGCCTGGAATGTAGTGGCATGCTCATGGCCACTGTAGCCTTGACCTGCTGGGCTCAGGCAATCCTTCCACTTCCGCCTTCCAAGGAACTACAGGAGTATACCACCATGCCCGACTAAATTTTCTGATTTATTGCAGAGACGAGGTCTTGCCATGTTGCCCAGACTGGTCTCGAACCAGTGGGGTCAGGCAATCCTCTTGCCTCAGCCTCCCAAAGTGCTAGGATTAGGGGCATGAGCCACCACACCTGATTTATGGAGGATTTCTTATTTGATAGATAGAAATGCATGCCTGTTAAAATCTTTTGTTGTTGAAATCAGTATAACATCTGGGCTGTTATATTAATGATCTTTTATATTTATAATGATAACATAAAGTGATTTACATATTAAACTAAAGCAAATAAGTGAAAAAAGTTCATATTTTCTTTTGATCTTACAGGATGTAGATGATTTCTTTGAACATGAGCGAACATTCCTTTTAGAATATCATAACCGGGTTAAAGATGCATCTGCTAAATCTGATAGGATGACAAGATCACATAAAAGTAAGATTTTTCTGTAGCTAATGCTAATTTTTTTTAATAGACTAATTATAGAGCTGTTATTTATAGCTTTAAAAAGTCTTCATAAGCCAGGCTTGGTGGCTCTGCCTGTAATCCCGCGCCTTTGGAGGCTGAGGTGAGTGGATTGCCTGAGCCCACGAGTTCGAGACCCGCCTGGGAAACTTGGTGAGACCTCATCTTTACAATAAATCAAAAATGAGCCGGGTGTGGTAGCGCATGCCAGTAGTTCCAGCTATTCGGAAGGCTGAGGCGGAAGGATCGCCGGAGCCCAGCAGGTCGAGGCTGTGGTGGCTGGGAGCGGCCACTGCACTCCAGTCTGGGTGCAGGGTGAGACTCCAACTCAAAAAAAAAAAAAAGTCTTGATAAAGAATAGTAGTCCCCAAACTGTTGTCTATTAAAGCCTAGACCCCAAGACCCTTTTATTATTTAAAAAAAAATTTTTTTTTAATCTTTTTTTTTTTTTTTTTTTGAGTCAGAGTCTCACTCTGTCGCTTGGGCTGGAGTGTAGTGGCACGTTCACGGCCACCACAGCCTCAACCTGCTGGGCTCAGGTGATCCTTCTGCCTCAGTCTTCTCAGTAACTGGAACTATTAAGTACGCGCCACCATGCCTGGCAAATTCTTTGATTTATTGTAGAGATGAGGTCTCACCAAGTTGCCCAGGGTGGCCTCGAAACCTTGGACTCAGGCAATCCTCTCGTCTCGTCCTCCCAAAGTGCTGGGATTATAGGCTTGAGTCATTGTGTCTGGCTCAAAGCTGTTTTCATAACACTACTATGATGGTTTCTGCCTTTTTCACCATGTTGATATTTGCACTGATGACAGATAAAACTACTGATACCTTAGTACAAAATCAAGGTAGAGGCACCAAACTGTACTAATAGTCTCCATTCTTTTCTGCCATACTTGTGATTTTAAAAAATGTAGCTCACTTAAGAATGCCCTTGATTAAGCAGTAAAGATTAGTTGTAATCTCCATCCTTGAGTACACATTTTTTTAGTATCCTGAGAGATGAAATATAGGGAGGCTGAAGTGGATGGATCACCTGAGTCCAGGAGGTCGAGGCTGCAGTGAGCTTGATTGTGCCACTGCATTCCAGACTGGGTGACAAAGCAGTCTGGTTCCAGGTTCATGCCTTTGACTAATGCTACTATCCTTTTTATGCCTTTGACTAATGCTACTATCCTTTTTTTGTTTTCCTAAAACCAAGAGATGTATTCATTATAAGCTTTCTTTTTTTTTTAGTTGGAGTCTCACTCTGTCGCCCAGACTGGAGTGCAGTGGCTGCTCCCAGCCACCGCAGTCTCGACCTGCTGGGCTCCGGCAATCCTTCCGCCTCAGCTTTCTGAGTAGCCGGAATTACAGGCATGCGCTACCACGCCCGGCTGATTTTTTGATTTATTGCAGAGATGAGGTCTCGCTGCCTAGTCGGGTCTCGAACCCGCGGGCTCAGGCAATCCACTCACCTCAGCCTCCCAAAGATGTGGGATTACAGGCTGAGCCACTGAGCCCGGCTCATTATAAGCTTTCTAAATAAGTTTGCCCCGTGGTGAACCCTGGGAAGAGTGTCATACTGAAGTTCAATACTTTTGCTCCCTAGCACCCAAGAGTAAGGGTGCTGCCATTCATCTAGCTTCCCAAGCTCCATAATTTCCCTTCCTACCTCAGGTCTACTGATTCTAAATCCTATGTGTTGCACTTCCTAAGTATCTTTCAGCTTTGTCAGCTCTAACCACTTTTCTCACGATCACTCCAGACCCTCGGTATCTGTCACCAGATTATTTCAGCAGTTCCTGCATTCTGTTTCTCTCTACTTCTATTCTTTGTTCCAGGGAGAATTTTTTTTTTTTAATCTAAAATCCTCCTCAGGTGATTTTACCAATACTATCGCTTTAAAATGTTGAATAACACACATTCCGCTAAGATCAAATCCACACTGCCATGGCTGACAGGACCTTTTTTCCCAAGATACTCTCAACTTACTTTTTAATCTTCAACATCATCTACTCCCTGTGCACCCTGCAGTACCATAGTCCCGTAAGGGTCTCTGAGTACACTGTGCTCTTTTGTGTTTCCCTGGCCTTTACCCATGCTGCTCAAAATGCTCTCTCTTTACTTGATAAAGACTTGCTTATCCTACAGTCTTCTCCAGCTCATTCTGTAGCTTCTTTAAATCCTTCCCTGACTTACTATTTCCCCTCTCCCAAAGCAGTTTATGTGATATAATATGTGCCATATTATATTGTGGTTGGTTATATTGTTTACTAGGCTTTGGATATCTCCTATTATATATCTGGCAGTTAGCTACTCAGCAAGTGTTTTATATTTTTTTAGTATCTTTTTTTTTCGAGTTGGGATCTCATGTTTCACCTAGGCTGAATGGCAGTGGCATGATCATGGCTCACTGTAGCCTCCACTTCCTGGGTTTAGGCAATCCTTCTGCCTCAGCCTCCTAAGTAGCTGGGACTATAGACTTGTGTCACCACACCCAACTGATTTTTTGTTTTTGTAGAGGTTTGATTTCACTGTGTTGTCTAGGCTAGTGTTGAACTCCTGGGCTAAGGTAGTTCTCCTGCCTTGGCCTTTCAAAGTGCTGGGATTACAGATGTGAGCCAACACACCTGGCTTCAGAATCAATGAATAAATGTATTAAATTCTTAAAACGTTCTCCATAGGTGCTGCAGATGATTACAATAGAATTGGTTCTTCATTATATGCTTTAGGAACTCAGGATTCTACAGATATATGCAAGTAAGTATTCTAATTTAAAACAATAACTATAAATACAGCAGAGAAAAATTTCTCTTGGTAGCCTGGGTACATAAAATACTTCTAATACAAAAATTTTGGAATATTTTTGTCAAAACACATTAATATTTACAATGTTTTATTTGATTAAAATGGGCTTATTTATGTGTAAGAGGGGGAAGAGGCAGAATTTATGACAGTGTTTTTACGTTTTGATAAAGCTTATAAATGTGATTTGGGAATTAGAATATTTATATATGTATGTGTGTGTATGTATTTCATTGGAGGGTAAATTACTTTTTTTTTTTTTTTTTTTTTTTGAGCTGGAGTCTCACTCTGTCACCCAGACTGGAGTGCAATGGCTGCTCCCGGCCACTGCAGTCTTGACCTGCTGGGCTCCGGCAATCCTTCTGCCTCAGCCTTCCAAGTAGTTGGAATTACAGGCGCACGCTACCACGCCCGGCTAATTTTTGATTTGTTGTAGAGATGAGGTCTCGTCAAGTTGCCCAGGCGGGTCTCAAACCCGCAGGCTCAGGCAATCCATTCACCTCGGCCTCCCAAAGTGCTGGGATTACAGGCTGAGCCACCAAGCCTGGCCATAAATTACTCTTAAAGTAAAATTTGATGCTATACTTTTTCACTTTTCTTTTTTTTTTTTGAGTTGAAGTCTCACTGTTGCCCAGGGTGGAGTGCAGTGGCACGCTCACGGCCACTGCAGCCTTGACCTGCTGGGCTCAGGCAATTCTTCTGCCTCAGCCTTCCAAGTAGCTGGAACTATAGGCATGTGCCACCATGCCCGGCTAATTTTTTTGATTTATTGTAGAAATGAAGTCTCACCATGTTGCCCAGACTGGTCTTGAACCTCTGAGCTCAGGCAATCCTCTCACCTCAGCCTCCCAAAGTGCTGGGATTACAGGCTTCAGCCACCCTGCCTGACCACTTTTATTGTTTTTTTTCTTTCTTTCTTTTTTTTTTTTGTTTGAGTTGGAGTCTCACTCTGTCACCCAGGCTGAAGTGCAATAGCAAACTCACGGCCACTGCAGCCTTGACTTACTGGGCTCAGGTAATCCTTCTGCCTCAGCCTTCCAAGTAGCTGAAACTACAGGCATGCACTACTACAGCCAGTTAATTTTTTGATTTATTGGTGAGACAAGGTCTCACCAAGTTTCCCGGGCTGATCTCGAACCCTTGGGCTCAGGCAATCCTCTTGCTTCTACCTCCCAAAGTGCTGGGATTACAGACTTGAGCCTCTGTGCCTGGCTTTTTTTGTTTGTTTGTTTGTTTTTTTTTTGTTTTTTTTAGGTGGAGTCTTACTCTGTCGGCAGTGACATGCTCTTGGCCACCACAGCCTCAACCCACTGGGTTCAGGTGATCCTTCCACCTCAGCCTTCCAAGTAGCTGGAACTACAGGCATGGGCCATCACGCCTGGCTTGTTTTTTGATTTATTGTAGAGATGAGGTCCCGCCAAGTTGCCCAGGCTGATATTGAACCTGTAGACTCAGGCAGTCCTCTCACCTTGGCCTCCCAAAGTGCTGGGATTGTAGTCATGAGCCACTGCACCCGGCCTTGTTGTATTTTTAAAACATAACTATTAGATATCTATAAGAACTGCTTCAACTTTGGTGTTTTCCTTTTAAATCAGCCTTTTGTCTCTTTCAATGTGCTTGCTTTGTATTTCTGTAATATTTTTGAAGGTATAGGATTTATTTAGTATTATGTGGCATATTGCTAAAGAATATCAAGATACATTTTAAGTTGATGTGTGGCTTAGACTCATCTTGAAATGAAATGGACAAGGATTCTGTAACAACAGCTTTCAAGTAAGCTATTATGGGTGTAAGTACAGGGAGATCTTTGAAGTAAATGAAGTTTACAGTTAACAAGACCATTGACTGTTATGGTAATGAGGAAGAATATTTATTACTTTTATGGTTTGGGGCATATTCTCTGAACATTTAAAATGGAAAATTATTTCAAATGTGGCTTTTGATGAAAATATTTTTTTCTTTCAGGTTTTTCCTCAAAGTTTCAGAACTGTTTGATAAAACAAGAGTAAGTACTAAATTCTAGAGATCTGCAGAATATTTGTGTCTGTAGAGTTCATGTTATGTGCTTTGGGAGGCCGAGGTGAGTGGATTGCCTGAGCCTGCGGGTTTGAGACCCGCCTGGGCAACTTGACGAGACCTTGTCTCTATAATAAATAAATAAATAAATAAATAAGCTGGGAGTGGTAGCATGTGCCTGTAGTTCCGGCTACTTGGAAGGCTGAGGCGGAAGGATCGCCGGAGCCTAGCAGACTGAGGCTGCGCTGGCCTGTGAGCGTGCCACTGCACTCCAGCCTGGGTGACAGAGTGAGACTCTAACTTTAAAAAAAGGAAGCTGGGTTTGGTGGCTCAGCCTGTAATCCTGCGCCTTGGGAGGCTGAGGTGCATGAATTGCCCGAGCCCGTGGGTTCAAGACCCGCCCGGGCAACTTGGCGAGACCTCATCTCTACAATAAATCAAAAAATTAGCCGGGTGTGGTGGTACATGCCTGTAGTCACAGCTACTTGGAAGGCTGAGGCGTAAGGATCACCAGAGCCCAGCAGGTTGAGGCTGCAGTGGCCAGGAGCAGTCACTGCACTCCAGTGAGACTCCAACTCAAAAAAAAAAAAAGGAAAGATTATGAGACAGATTTGAATTCCATTGAAAGTTTTTCAAGAAATCAGTTTTTGTTATGGCCTTTTGGTATTTGTATAAAAGTTCATATTCTTAATCAGGAAATATTTATTATGGAGACTGGGTTTATTTTTATGAAGAATGATCCTTTTTAGGGGCTTTATAAACTCAGAGAAAGTCTTAGATTCATTATAACTTTACCAAAATTGTATTGCCTTTGATCTCCCGTGACACACTGGTTTAAAAGTAGTATCAATACAAGGCAAAGTACACAACCGTGGAAACGTTGCACTCATGGTAGTATTATGTATGTATGTTGAAGTCTCACTTCGTCACCCAAGCTGGAGTGCCGTGGTACACTCATGGCCACCCCAGTGTCGACCTTCTGCCTCGGTATTCGGAACTACAGGCATGCGCTACTGTGCCCGGCTAGTTTTTGATTTTATTGTAGAGACAAGGTTTCACCAAGTTGCCTGGACTGGTCTCGTACCTGCAGGCTAGGCAATCCACTCGCCTCAGCCTCCCAAAGTGCTGGGATTACAGACTGAACCACCGAACCCGGCTTGGTAGTAATAATTTAATATTGACATAGTCTTGATTTTCAAGATTCAGCCCTAAATACAGTAGTATTTAACATCTTTATAGTTAGTAGAATGGTGAAAATGTTTAGGAGTTTAGGAGATGTTTAGTGGTAATTAGCTGGGAGTGGTGGTGGCTAGTCCAGTGTAGAAATTGATTCCAGCATGACCTTGCCCATTGAGTGATGTCTAGTGGAGACAAGAAAAAGAAAAGGAGAGCCGGGCTCGTGGCTCAGCCTGTAATCCCGCGCCTTTGGGAGGCTGAGGTGAGTGGATTGCCTGAGCCTGCGGGTTTGAGACCCGCCTGGGCAGGCGAGACCTCATCTCTACAGTAAATTTAAAAAAAAATTAGCCAGGCGTGATAGCGTGCGCCTGTAGTTCCAGCTACTTGGAAGGCTGAGGTGGAAGGATCACCAGAGCCCAGCAGGTCGAGGCTGCGGTGGCCGGAAGTGGCTACTGTACTCCAGTCTGGGCGATAGTGAGACTCCAACTCAAAAAAAAAAAAGGAAAGGAAATATTCTCTCACAAAGGAAAAATACACAAATGTTGTTGCACTGGGGTCTAGGTAGCCTGTTATTCTGTCTTTGATATTTCTACCAGTGAGCATTTTTTGGGAAGATAGAGTTACTTTTCTTTTTT